AATGGAAATGGCTGCAGCCGCTATTGATTTAGAAGATGCGTACAACAGCGTCCCATGCAACAAGCTCACCAGACTGCTGTTGGATATGCAGATAGAAACAAAATTCGTCAACTGGATCGCAAAAGCCCTATTTGAAAGAACAGTGTTGCTTCGATGTGGTGAATGGGCATCCGAACCTCAACGCGTCCTAATTGGTCTGCTCCAGGGATCACCATTGTCGCCTGTGCTCTTCAGTGTGTACACAGCAGGAGTCACGAGTGCACAAAGCATAGGCCTAGGCAGAACAATGTCGTATGCAGATGATATCCTTGTTTACCGTCGAGGTAAAAACAGGCAGGAAATTACAACCACACGAACTAGACAGACTTAGTGAGTGGTGCCAGGAATTAAGAGCTTAGGTTAACCCGCCCAAAGCCTCCTTAACATGGTTCTCTCTGAATACTCACATCGTTAGTTCACCAACACCAGTCGTAAGCATATGTGGTGTGGACATCGAGAGAACGGACACCATGAAATACCTTGGCATGACATTTGATAGATGCCTGTCATACAAATACCACGTAGACAACGTCATACTTAGAGCCAGGAAAGGTTTGACAGCACTCAAGGGGCTAGCAGCAGCTGATATTGAACAACGCCTACTTGATAGAGGGCTTGTGCTTAGCGTCATTGACTATGGTCTTGCCCTCCTCACTGTCAGAAAAACCCAGCTAGAAAGACTGGACCAAGTACAAATTGAGGCCATGAGACTCATACTCGGCTGCACAAAAGACACCTCATGCAACGCCATGCGTTATGTCCTGGGTTTGCCGACGATGACTAGCAGATACAAAGTGGCACAGGTCAAGGCTTACATGAGGGTATCGGCAGACGTTAACCACCCATTGCACAACGCTATACACGACACAAAAGGAACGCGTCTCAAAAGAGGCCGCTCTTGGATGGCAAATGCTGAGGATTTGATCCAGCAGGTATGTGACCTAGACGTGATCAGTCACGGAAAAGAATGGATGAATACACCAGTAGACATGCATGGCATCTCTAAGGTTGTCATCACACTCGGAAGGTACTGCAGGGATCAAATTCCTGCAGCCGTAGACACAGCAGTAAGGGAACTGATAGATCAGCATTCAGACCCAGAAGATATCATCATCTACACAGATGAAAGGTCAGCATGGGCATACACAGCGCAAAGAATGGGGGAAACAATTCATGAGGACAGCGGCGCTTACCAGACAACCACGTCAAGCATGACAATGGAAATAGCCGCTGCTTCTAGAGCTTTAGCGTGGGTATCTGAGCAAACCGCCACACAGGCAGTAATTGTCTCAGATTTAATGAATATGCTTCAGAAGATATCAACAGGCAGTATGCGCTCTGAATGGATAGAAAGCATTCGGAAATCGCACTTAACCTCCGTAACCTGGACCTACACACCGGGTCATGCGGGCGTGAAGGGAAATGAGCGAGCAGACCAACTGGCAAGCACTGCACCAATGACTGCGGGAGAAAGCATGGACAGAGCACATTTCGTCAACGCTGTACGAACTGGGCTAGTGGAGAATGAGGAATCCCTGACACTAACATGATTGCGTGACATGGGAGTTAAGCATGGTGATGCACGTCTTTGCCGTCTTCGAGGCCGAGAAAGGAGACAATATAACCAGCTTCTTATGGGGACAATTAGTAGAAGTACTTTGGAGTGGCTGCTGCTTCAGAGAACTGAGCACGCATGGGTATGTCCAATGTGCAGTGACATCAAGTGTGATAACAAAACATAAAATAACATCTTTGTAGGGAGTCGGCAGTCCGAAACCCAAGTTCAAAGTGTCTCCTTCGTGCCAAAGAACTGCATGGCTGTTGGGTGAACAGTCGTTAACGAAGGCAGGCAGGTCGTTGTAAGGGCGGCGCCTGCTGGTGGATGTAACTTCCTAAGTCCCTTCCCCAACTAATAATGAGGGTACTGCTGGGGTGACCTTTTATTAGCCCTCATATAATGCTTCAGGTCAAAATTGACGCTAGGCACGGCAACCTTTTTTTTTAGACGGTGGCCGTTGCATTTTTGCTCCATTTGTAGACTGTAAGGATATAGTTTCGTCACCCAGCTTCTGAGTTGAGTGCATGGCGTGACACTGTGAGCTACGTGTGTTTTTCGTTGGCACAGGAGCGGAGCAACTATGGGGTGACCCGTTTGCTATGAAGCTGAAACTAGGATTACCAGATTACCAGATTACCAGATTTAAATGCAGATCCATCAGCACTCGATAAAGCGAGGTTCATCAGTGACGAGGACTTCATTTCATTGTTGCCTTGTCCATTTGAAGGGCTGGCGACACCAAGAAACCCGAGTGCTGCAATGAGCAGGAGTAAGAGAGATTCTGACTGCAGTTCTCCAAAGTTGAGTATCAGGTAAACGTTTGTGAATGCTGCTTGTGAATAACACAAATGTTTACAGTTTGTTTCAGCTGACATCTTAGAGTGGGACAAGTCCCTGTTGGGTGGCACAGGGCTGACAACAAGAGGTGTCTATTGGTGCATCAATGTGGAGCAAGCCGGTGGCGATCCTCTATACTTGCGATGTCTTGAAATCTTTCAAAAAATGTAGAGTATGCCGTCTGGGAACGTCATGTGTAGATACACCGCTTTCAACTCAGCAATCGCATGAGAATCTTCCGGGCGCAAGTCTCAGAAACCCTCTTCTACCCATAGGTTATAGTTAGGGCCAACGACGACAGCCGGGCCTGGGCTGTAAAACAAAATCCTTCCCTTTTTAAGGCTGATATAGATTTTCTCCATTCTTTGATGTAACCCTTGTCTCTCTCTGCGTGATCGTCGACGAAGGCAGACAACTATAATAATACATTAAATTTCATAATATACAAATTGTTTCCCCTGCAATTACTTTATTCTAGAAGAACATTCATTTCTCTCTCTCTCTCTCTCTCTCTCTCTCTCTCTCTCTCTCTCTCTCTCTCTCTCTCTCTCTCTCTCTTTCTCTCTTTCTCTTTCCAAACAAACCTGTCTCTCCCTGCATGGGTTTCGAAGCCCTATTGCAGGGAGACTAACATATCCACTGCCTTCCAAACAAGCATGTCGTAAGAGTCGACAAATTAGGGGCTTCCTTCAAAGTCAGACTGCATCTGACTGAGAGGCAAAGAATCGCCTGCTTACAAACATTGTGAGATCTATAAAACGGCTGTGCACGCTTCACTCTGATTTCGGAATAAGACTGCAGTCCAAAAGTAGACGAACAACAAGAACTCTCCACCCAATGAAATAGCTGGTGAACGTGAAAACGAAAAAGACATTAATCTTTTCTCCCACTCCTGCTCACACAACTCCCACACTTTACTTCTGCTCCCACAACTCCCACACTTTACTCCTGCTCACACAACTCCCACACTTCACTTCTGCTCACACAACTCCCACACTTCACTTCTGCTCACACAACTCCACACTTCACTTCTGCTCACACAACTCCCACACTTCACGTCTGCTCACACAACTCCCACACTTCACTTCTGCTCACACAACTCCCACACTTCACTTCTGCTCACACAATTCCCACACTTCACTCCTGCTCACACAACTTCCAGACAACTCCCACACTTCACTAATTCTCATACAACTCCCACACCTCACTCCTGCTCACACAACTGTTACACCACACTCCTGCTCACACAACTGTCACACCACACTTCTGCTCACAGCACTGTTATACCACACTCCTGCTCACACAGCTGTCACACCTTATTCCTGCTCACACGAATGTTACATCTCACTCTGCTCACACGACTGTCACACCACACTCCTGTTCACACAACTGTCACACCACACTGCTGCTCAAACAACTGTTACACCCCACTTCTGCTCACTCAATTTCCACACTTCACTCTTGCTCACACAACTCCCACACTTCACTCCTGCTCACAGAGCCCGAACACCTCACTCCTGCTCACACAACTGTTGCACCTTACTCCTGCTCACACAACTGTTACATCTCACTCCTGCTCACACAACTGTTACATCACACTCCTGCTCACACAACTGTTACATCTCACTCCTGCTCACACAACTGTTACATCTCACTCTTGCTCACTGCTGCTGTTACACAACTATTGCTCACACAACTGTACACTTCTGCTGCTCACACAACTGTTACATCTTACTCCTGCTCACACAACTGTTACATCTCACTCCTGCTCACACAACTGTTACATCTCACTCCTGCTCACACAACTGTTACATCTCACTCCTGCTCACACAACTGTTACATCTTACTCCTGCTCACACAACTGTTACATCTTACTCCTGCTCACACAACTGTTACACCTCACTCCTGCTCACACAACTGTTACATCACACTGCTGCTTACACAACTGTTACACCTTACTCCTGCTCACACAACTGTCACATCACACTGCTGCTCACACAACTGTTACACCTTATTCCTGCTTACACAACTGTTACACCTTACTCCTGCTCACACAACTGTTACACCTTACTCCTGCTCACACAACTGTTACACCACACTCCTGCTCACACAACTGTTACATCACACTCCTGCTCACACAACTGTTACACCACACTTCTGCTCACACAACTGTTACACCACACTTCTGCTCACACAACTGTTACACCACACTCCTGCTCACACAACTGTTACATCACACTTCTGCTCACACAACTGTTACACCACACTTCTGCTCACACAACTGTTACACACTTTACTCCTGCTCACACAACTGTTACACTTTACTCCTGCTCACAGAACCCTAACACCTTACTCCTGCTCACACGACTGTTACTTCTCACTCCTGCTCACACAACTGTTGCATGTTTACTCCTGCTCACACAACTGTCACACCACACTGCTGCTTACACAACTGTCACATCACACTGCTGCTTCCACAACTGTTACATCACACTTCTGCTCACACAACTCCCACACTTCGCTCCTGCTCACACCTTCCACACCTCACTTCTGCTCACACAACAACATGCCCGCCAAGGCAAGCCTGCCTCTAACAGGCCAGCATTGATCAATAAATCTGCTGAGGATCTGTTCCACCACCCATCCCGTCCCAGTTTTGTTATGAATTGGTTTTCTGAGGTTTCTCCGTGTCAGCATGAACTTGTTTACTCCATCTATCCTAACTGTTGTCTGTATCACCTAGGCCCTGGCAGGGTAAACAAAATGCGAGTGCAGGTAAGAAGCTTAGATTTAATTATATATGTGTGAGTATGTGCGTGTATGTGTGTGTGGTTTGGTCTCCAATTGCTAGTGGCTTGAGGAGTAAGTACACTAGCTATTTGGTGTGTGCCAGATAATTGCTAGCAACTGTTTTAACACTTTTAGTGGCCCGACTCTCTAGCGGAATTGGCTAAACCGGATTTCGCGGAGACCGGGTGACGTACTCCTTGTGGTCCGGGTTCAATCCCGGGGGTAGGCAGGAAAGCCACATTTTCTCCCAGATTTACGGTATTTACAATGGAATCAAGGCCGAAAGGTTGCGATATCCATAATACCGAGCCTAAGGGTTAACAACTCATGGCTTCTGGATAATAAAACAAACAAAGAAACAACACTTTTAGTGACTTGTCAGTTGGTCCGTATTTTTGACACTTACTAGCTTATCAGGATAGGTAGCCAACATCTCCATGTATTAGCAAACTTTCAGACTTCAAACAGACTAGTCGACAGCTTTAGCAACAAACTGAATGGGGCACAGTTAACTAATACATAAATTTGAAAAATGCTGATACAACAGTGCATTGCGCAATTTATTGCCAGACGTATTTAACAGTGTTCTAACCATTACTGGCAACGTTTGCTATATCAAGCAACAAGGATTTTGACGTCATCAAGAACTGTAGTTACAAAACCACGCAGCCACTATTATGCATGGTTAAACTGGAATATTTTACAGCTTTTCTTTGGCAGTAATAACTAGCTACCGTTTAGCGATATTAAGAGGCAATATATGACAATATTACCTATCAACTATTTGACAGTATTGATGAGCAACTATTTGGCTAACAGTGGCAGCAATTTGCAAGTCAATAACAGGTACTAGACCGCCTTTTGAGCGAGTCTGCAATAGCTAACTACTAACTGACAATAATAGTTGACAACGAGCTTTGCAATCAGCTCACCATGTTTGAATGAAGCTATCTAGCAGCGACATCGTCACAAGCAAATGCTACCTCGGATATGGAACACAAGTGAAAGTTAGAGAACCACTAAAGACATAGAACATAAGTGAAAGTTAGAGAACCACTAAAGATATGGAACATAAGTGAAAGTTAGAGAACCACTAAAGATACGGAACATAAGTGAAAGTTAGAGAACCACTAAAGACATGGAACATAAGCGAAAGTTAGAGAACCACTAAAGATATGGAACACAAGTGAAAGTTAGAGAACCACTAAAGACATGGAACATAAGCGAAAGTTAGAGAACCACTAAAGATATGGAACACAAGTGAAAGTTAGAGAACCACTAAAGATGTTGAACATAAGTGAAAGTTAGAGAACCACCAAAGATAGGGAACACAAGTGAAAGTTAGAGAACCACTAAAGATATGGAACATAAATGAAAGTTAGAGAACCACTAAAGACATAGAACATAAGTGACAGTTAGAGAACCACTAAAGATATGGAACATAAGTGAAAGTTAGAGAACCACTAAAGATATGGAACATAAGTGAAAGTTAGAGAACAACTAAAGACATGGAACATAAGTGAAAGTTAGAGAACCACTAAAGATATGGAACATAAGTGAAAGTTAGAGAACCACTAAAGATATGGAACATAAGTGAAAGTTAGAGAACCACTAAAGACATGGAACATAAGTGACAGTTAGAGAACCACTAAAGACATGGAACATAAGTGAAAGTTAGAGAACCACTAAAGATATGGAACATAAGTGAAAGTTAGAGAACCACTAAAGACATGGAACATAAGTGAAAGTTAGAGAACCACTAAAGATATGGAACATAAGTGAAAGTTAGAGAACCACTAAAGATAGGGAACACAAGTGAAAGTTAGAGAACCACTAAAGATATGGAACACAAGTGAAAGTTAGAGAACCACTAAAGACATGGAACACAAGTGAAAGTTAGAGAACCACTAAAGACATGGAACATAAGTGAAAGTTAGAGAACCACTAAAGATATGGAACATAAGTGACAGTTAGAGAACCACTAAAGACATGGAACATAAGTGAAAGTTAGAGAACCACTAAAGATATGGAACATAAGTGAAAGTTAGAGAACCACTAAAGACATGGAACATAAGTGAAAGTTAGAGAACCACTAAAGATATGGAACACAAGTGAAAGTTAGAGAACCACTAAAGACATGGAACATAAGTGAAAGAGAATCACTAAAGATATGGAACACAAGTGAAAGTTAGAGAACCACTAAAGACATAGAACATAAGTGAAAGTTAGAGAACCACTAAAGACATGGAACATAAGTGAAAGTTAGAGAACCATTAAAGACAAGGAACATAGGTGAAAGTTAGAGAACCACTTAAGACATGGAACATAAGTGAAAGTTAGAGAACCACTAAAGATATGGAACACAAGTGAAAGTTAGAGAACCACTAAAGACATGGAACATAAGTGAAAGTTAGAGAACCACTAAAGATATGGAACACAAGTGAAAGTTAGAGAACCACTAAAGACATAGAACATAAGTGAAAGTTAGAGAACCACTAAAGACATGGAACACAAGTGAAAGTTAGAGAACCACTAAAGACATGGAACATAAGTGAAAGTTAGAGAACCATTAAAGACAAGGAACATAGGTGAAAGTTAGAGAACCACTTAAGACATGGAACATAAGTGAAAGTTAGAGAACCACTAAAGATATGGAACACAAGTGAAAGTTAGAGAACCACTAAAGACATAGAACATAAGTGAAAGTTAGAGAACCACTAAAGATTTTGAACATAAGTGAAAGTTAGAGAACCACTAAAGATATGGAACATAAGGGAAAGTTAGAGAACCACTAAAGATATGGAACACAAGTGAAAGTTAGAGAACCACTAAAGACATAGAACATAAGTGAAAGTTAGAGAACCACTAAAGATTTTGAACATAAGTGAAAGTTAGAGAACCACTAAAGACATGGAACATAAGTGAAAGTTAGAGAACCACTAAAGATATGGAACATAAGTGAAAGTTAGAGAACCACTAAAGATATGGAACACAAGTGACAGTTAGAGAACCACTAAAGATATGGAACATAAGTGAAAGTTAGAGAACCACTAAAGATATGGAACATAAGTGAAAGTTAGAGAACCACTAAAGATATGGAACATAAGTGAAAGTTAGAGAACCACTAAAGACATAGAACATAAGTGACAGTTAGAGAACCACTAAAGACATGGAACATAAGTGAAAGTTAGAGAAACACTAAAGACATGGAACATAAGTGAAAGTTAGATAACCACTAAAGATATGGAACACAAGTGAAAGTTAGAGAACCACTAAAGATATGGAACACAAGTGAAAGTTAGAGAACCATCAAACACATGGAACACAAGTGAAAGTTACAGAACCACTAAAGATATGGAACATAAGTGAAAGTTAGAGAACCACTAAAGATATGGAACAAAAGTGAAAGATAGAGAACCACTAAAGATATGGAACACAAGTGAAAGTTAGAGAACCACTAAAGATTTGGAACACAAGTGAAAGTTAGAGAACCAGTAAAGACATGGAACACAAGTGAAAGTTAGAGAACCACTAAAGATATGGAACACAAGTGAAAGTTAGAGAACCACTAAAGATATTGAACATAAGTGAAAGTTAGAGAACCACCAAAGATAGGGAACACAAGTGAAAGTTAGAGAACCACTAAAGATATTTAACATAAGTGAAAGTTAGAGAACCACTAAAGACATAGAACATAAGTGACAGTTAGAGAACCACTAAAGATATGGAGCATAAGTGAAAGTTAGAGAACCACCAAAGAAACGGAACATAAGTGAAAGTTAGAGAACCACAAAAGATATGGAACATAAGTGAAAGTTAGAGAACCACTAAAAACATGTAACATAAGTGAAAGTTAGAGAACCACTAAAGATATGGAACACAAGTGAAAGTTAGAGAACCACTAAAGACACGGAACATAAGTGACAGTTAGAGAACCACTAAAGACATGGAACATAAGTGAAAGTTAGAGAACCATTAAAGATATGGAACATAAGTGAAAGTTAGAGAACCACTAAAGATATGGAACATAAGTGAAAGTTAGAGAACCACTAAAGACATGGAACACAAGTGAAAGTTAGAGAACCACTAAAGATATGGAACACAAGTGAAAGTTAGAGAACCACTAAAGACATGGAACATAAGTGAAAGTTAGAGAACCACTAAAGACATGGAACATAAGTGAAAGTTAGAGAACCACTAAAGATATGGAACATAAGTGAAAGTTAGAGAACCACTAAAGACATGGAACATAAGTGAAAGTTAGAGAACCACTAAAGATATGGAACATAAGTGAAAGTTAGAGAACCACTAAAGATAGGGAACATAAGTGAAAGTTAGAGAACCACTAAAGATATGGAACATAAGTGAAAGTTAGAGAACCACTAAAGATAGGGAACACAAGTGAAAGTTAGAGAACCACTAAAGATAGGGAACACAAGTGAAAGTTAGAGAACCACTAAAGACATGGAACACAAGTGAAAGTTGGAGAACCACTAAAGATATGGAACACAAGTGACAGTTAGAGAACCACTAAAGACATGAAACATAAGTGACATGGATTTGAGAAAAAATATCTGTGAAATAAAAAAAAATAAAAAATAAAGACGCTCCTCAAATCGTGTCATCTACATCAGCCTGGACATTACACAGACCCCGTAATTACCATACTGGCAGTCTCGTCCCCCACGCCCCCTTTCTCATTACAAAAATGGAAATCAGCCACCACGAATCATCCTGGGCCTGTCCTCGGATTCCATGACCGTTGTTCAGTTTTTAGAGCTAAAGACATGGAACATAAAGTCTAATTAAAACCACTAAAGATATGAATCAGTGACAGTTAGAGAACCATCAATTGCTGTCGTTTCAAAATGTTTTTTTTCCATTTGTTTAAGCTTTAGAGAACGAGTTCATTGGGTGTATAAGGTGACTAGCAAAACTAAAGATTGTTCGTCATAAGTTCTGGATTATAGTCAGAATTTGAATGTTGCGTGCAAATCCGTTCTATAGATCTGCTTTTATTTACGCAAACTGTTCGTCCCAGCTTGTCTCCACGTGGGTCGCCCCATGACAGGCTCGTGACAGCTAGACTGCACGTGGGTCGCCCCATGACAGGCTCGTGACAACTTGGCTGCACGTGGGTCGCCCCATGACAGGCTCGTGACAGCTTGACTGCACGTGGGTCGCCACATGACAGGCTCGTTAAAGCTTGACTGCACGTGGGTGGCCTCATGACAGGCTCGTGACAACTTGACTGCACGTGGGTAGCCCCATGACAGGCTCGTGACAGCTAGACTGCACGTGGGTGGCCCCATCACAGGCTCGTGACAGCTTGACTGCACATGGGTCGCCCCATGACAGGCTCGTGACAGCTAGACTGCACGTGGGTGGCCCCATGATAGGCTCGTGACAGCTTGACTGCACGTGGGTCGCCCCATGACAGGCTCGTGACAGCATGACTGCACGTGGGTCGCCCCATGACAGGCTCGTGACAGCATGACTGCACGTGGGTGGCCTCATGACAGGCTCGTGACAGCTTGACTGCACGTGGGTCGCCCCATGACAGGCTCGTTACAGCTTGACTGCACGTGGGTCGCCCCATGACAGGTTCGTGACAGCTTGACTGCGCGTGGGTGGCCCCATGACAGGCTCGTGACAGCTAGACTCCACGTGGGTCGCCCCATGACAGGCTCGTGACAGCTTGACTGCACGTGGGTCGCCCGATGACAGGTTCGTGACAGCTTGGCTGCACGTGGGTGGCCTCATGACAGGCCTGTGACAGCTTGACTGCACGTGGGTCGCCCCATGACAGGCTCGTGACAGCTAGACTGCACGTGGGTCGCCCCATGACAGGCTCCTTACAGTTTGACTGCACGTTGGTCGCCCCATGACAGGTTCGTGACAGCTTGACTGCACGTGGGTCGCCCCATGACAGGTTCGTGACAGCTTGACTGCACGTGGGTGGCCCTTTGACAGGCTCGTGACTGCACGTGGGTGGCCCCATGACAGGCTCGTGACTGCACGTGGGTGGCCCCATGACAGGCTCGTGACTGCACGTGGGTGGCCCCATGACAGGCTGGTGATGATCACTCAACATGTGCTCCCCTGTCCCATTGGAAAACTAGTGAAAACATGTCAGTCAAAGCCACGTCTTGAAGCTCGCACACGCAAAATAAATACCTAGGGCAGCTGTCACATGTGCCTACACTAACAGCTGCACACCAGAACTGTTGACGTAATCAGTCAGTTACAAAAGTCAACATTATGCACTCATTACCGTATAACTACACGCCATTCCGAACGTTTTCAGACACCTACCATGTTTAGTGTTCGTAACACAAAGCGGTTGCAGGAACAAAAGTAAAAACCTTTACTCCCAGGTCGAACAGCCTTGACTGGGTACCAGGGTTCCCAGGTCGAACAGCCTTGACTGGGTACCGGGGTTCCCAGGTCGACCCAGCTTTGACTGGGTACCAAGGCTCCCATGTCGACCCAGCTTTGACTGGGTACCGGGGTTCCCAGGTCGACCCAGCTTTGAATGTGGGTACCAGATGTATTTTCTATTTTCTTCCTTACGGACTAGGAGACAGTCCACGGGTCACATCCCTGTATTGCTACGTGTAAAATGCATGCTCACAATGTTGGCCCTTATTTCCTTACAGATGTTTAAAGTCATTTATGCTGTTCCATCTTTGCATTGCTTCGGCCATTCATTGTTTGACTTCTGGTGAATAGTCTTCATTGTTATTTATTATGGATCCTTGATGCTCAAAGTCTGTGAGACTTTTTATTTCATATTCATTGATTTTTGTTTTTTAAATTTTGAAGCAGGCTTTCATCTTCCCCCTGTGTTTGAGGAAAATCATGAAGGCACTATGATACGACTGTAACACCACTTCACATTGATTAACTCCACTTGGGAACCACTAAGACACTGTTGTAACACCACTGGGGAACCACTAAGAAACTGTTGTAACACCACTGGGGAACCACTAAGACACTTGTAACACCGGAGGGGAACCACTAAGACACTGTTGTAACACCACTGGGGAACCACTTAGACACTGTTGTAACACCACTGGGGAACCACTTAGACACGTAAGATCACTGGGGAACCACCAATAAACTGTTGTAACACAACTGGGGAACCACTTAGACACTGTTGTAACACCACTGGGGAACCACTTAGACACGTAAGATCACTGGGGAACCACCAATAAACTGTTGTAACACAACTGGGGAACCACTTAGACACTGTTGTAACATCACTGGGGAACCACCAATAAACTGTTGTAACACCACTGGGGAACCACTTAGACACTGTTGTAACACCACTGGGGAACCACTATAAAATTGATGTAACACCACTGGGGAACCACTTAGACACTGTTGTAACACCACTGGGGAACCACTTAGACACTGTTGTAACACTACTGGGGAACCACTATAAAATTGATGTAACACCACTGGGGAACCACTTAGACACTGTTGTAACACCACTGGGGAACCACTATAAAATTGATGTAACACCACTGGGGAACCACTAAGAAACTGTTGTAACACCACTGGGGAAGCACTATAAAATTGATGTAACACCACTGGGGAACCACTAAGAAACTGTTGTAACACCACTTGCGAACCACTATAAAATTGATGTAACACCACTGGGAAACAACTTAGACACTGTTGTAACACCACTGGGGAACCACTTAGACACTGTTGTAACACCACTGGAGAACCACTATAAAATTGATGTAACACCACTGGGGAACCAATAAGAAACTGTTGTAACATCACTGGTGAACCACTATAAAATTGATGTAACACCACTGGGGAAACACTAAGACACTGTTTTAACACCATTTGACACTAATTACCGCCACTATAGCGCCACTACAACATCGATCGTTGCGACCTCACTGTGATGACACCTTGTGTTGTATCTACAACTGCAAGCCAACGACAGTGTTAGATGTCAGCTAGCAGATCAAGTCTGGTGACGGCACTTGTGGAGGCCGTGACGCGGAGGTCAGTACTTGACGCCGTGACGCTACGGTCAGTATTTGACGTTGAGGTCAGTACTGTCCTGGACGTTGTAACACTGAGCTCAAGACTCATCTGGATGCCGTGACGCTGATGTCAGCTCTGTCCTTGACGCTGAGGTCAGTACTGAACGCCGTGACGCCGAGGTCAGTACTGGACGTCGTGACGCCGAGGTCAGTACTTGACGCCAAGACGCTGAGGTCAGTGCTGGACGTCGTGACGCCGAGGTCAGTACTTGACGCCAAGACGCTGAGGTCAGTACTGGACGCCGTGACGCTGGGGTCAGCTCTTCTGGCACCATGAGCACTTTCCTGGGATGTTCTTACTGGCAGTCGCCCAGTCACGTGGTCTACCACGTGGCCAGTGGAATCCTGTTATGTGGCCTCTTGGTGCCCGACTCCAAACATGGCGACCTGATGTTGCACGGTACCATGTCTCTGGGTAAGTGGGCTGTCGACTCTCTTTCGACACTCTCTGTCGACACTCCCTCGCCATTGCTCTCTGCTACCTCTTTTAACTGAAATAATGGGTGTTTGAAAAGAACGAATTTAAGACTGCCTCGTATGCAAAATTCGTAGCTTATTTAAAAAATTATTTCTTTCGTGTTCTCTCTCTCTCTCTCTCCCTCTCTCCCTCTCTCTCTCTCCCTCTCTTTCCCCCTCTCTCTCTCTCTGTGTGTGTGTGTGTGTGTGTGTGTGTGTGTGTGTGGGTGTCTTTCTCTCTATCTTTATGTTTGCATTGTTAACGAGGATGCTGTCTCTGTATTTGTGTCACTATCCCTCTCTTTGTCTATGTCTCTCTGGAACTCTGTTTCTCTATTACTTTTCGTCCACCCGTCATTTCGTTCGTCTGTCCTTCTGTCTGTCTGTTTGTCTTTATGTCTGTATCTGTGTTTATTTTTTTTTTCGTGATCGGCGTTTTCTTTTTCTCACTCAACCCCACTCCTGCCCCCCCCTTCTCTCTCTCTCTCTCTCTCTCTCTCTCTCTCTCTCTTTCTCTCTCTCTCTCTCTCTCTCTCTCTCTCTCTCTTAGGCACGGCGTGGGGTGTCTGTCTTTGTCTCTCTCTCGGTAAAGGTTTGAGATGTCTGTCTCTCTCTCTGGCACGTGCTGGGTGTCTGTCTGTCTCTCCGTCAGGGTCTGGGGTGTCTGTCTGTCTGTCTTTGTCTCTCTCTCGGTAAAGGTTTGAGATGTCTGTCTCTCTCTCTGGCACGTGCTGGGTGTCTGTCTGTCTCTCCGTCAGGGTCTGGGGTGTCTGTCTGTCTGTCTTTGTCTCTCTCTCGGTAAAGGTTTGAGATGTCTGTCTCTCTCTCTGGCACGTGCTGGGTGTCTGTCTGTCTCTCCGTCAGGGTCTGGGGTGTCTGTCTGTCTCTCCGTCAGGGTCTGGAGTGTCTGTCTGTCTCTCCGTCAGGGTCTGGAGTGTCTGATAAGCGTGCAGATTGCCCCTGTGAATCCCGGGCCCCATCTTGCGGAAGACATGGGTTCAAGACCCCTGTGAACCCCGGGCCCCATCTTGTGGAAGACATCGGTTCAAGACCCCTGTGAATTCCGGGCCCCATTTTGTGGAAGACATGGGTTCAAGACCCCTGTGAATTCCGGGCCCCATTTTGTGGAAGACATGGGTTCAAGACCCCTGTGAATTCCGGGCCCCATTTTGTGGAAGACATGGGTTCAAGACCCCTGTGAATTCCGGGCCCCATTTTGTGGAAGACATGGGTTCAAGACCCCTGTGAACCCCGGACCCCATCTTGTGGAAGACATGGGTTCAATGACCCATGTGAACCCCGGGCCCCATCTTGTGGAAGACATAGGTTCAATGACCCCTGTGAAATCCGGGCTCCATCTTGTGGAAGACATGGGTTCAATGACCTCTGTGAACCCCGGGCCCCATCTTGTGGAAGACATGGGTTCAATGACCCCTGTGAACCCCGGGCCCCATCTTGTGGAAGACATGGGTTCAATGACCCCTGTGAACCCCGGGCCCCATCTTGTGGAAGACATGGGTTCAAGACCCCTGTGAACCCCGCGCCCCATCTTGTGGAAGACATGGGTTCAAGACCCCTGTGAACCCCAGGCCCCATCTTGTGGAAGACATGGGTTCAATGACCCCTGGAAACTTTTTGTAAATGGCAATGATTGAGGGTTTTGCTAAATTCAAACCTTTTCGACGAAAGGCGTAGATATCACAAACTAGCTGTTAACCACAACACATCGTTTCAACTGCTCTACTGCTGCTGCTAACTACTACTGCTGCTAGCTGCTATTACTACTGCTGCTGGCTGCTACTACTGCTGCTGCTGGCTGCTACTACTACTGCTGCTGGCTGCTACTACTGCTGCTGCTGGCTGCTACTACTGCTGCTGCTGGCTGCTACTACTGCTGCTGCTGGCTGCTACTACTGCTGCTGCTACTACTGCTGCTGGCTGCTACTACTGCTGCTAACTACTACTGCTGCTGGCTGCTACTACTGCTGCTGCTGCTAGCTGCTATTACTACTGCTGCTGGCTGCTAACTACTACTGCTGCTGCTAGCTACTAACTACTACTGCTGCTGCTAGCTGCTACTATTGCTGCTGCTGGCTGCTACTACTGCTGCTGCTAACTACTACTGTTGCTGGCTGCTACTACTACTGCTGCTAGTTGCTAACTACTACTGCTGCTGGCTGCTACTACTACTACTGCTGCTGCTAGCTGCTAACTACTACTGCTAGCTGCTACTATTGCTGCTGCTGGCTGCTACTACTGCTGCTGCTGGCTGCTAATGCTACTGCTGCTGGCTACTACTACTGCTGCTGGCTGCTACTATTGCTGATGCTGGCTGCTACTACTACTGCTGCTAGCTGCTACTACTACTGCTACTGGCTGCTACTACTACTGCTGCTAGCTGCTGCTACTGCTAAGGCTATATGCTACTATTGCTAATAGTACTATTACCAACACAATTACAAGCCACTACTACTGCTTCTACCACAACTATTACCACTACCACTACTAATGGTGCTACTACTACTACAATCACTACTACTGTGATTGACTGCTTATACTACAAAAAGTAAAATAACTTCAACTACTACTGCTAAACCCGATAATGATAATGTTGTTGATCAGTAATGTCCTGATCTGACAGGATTTCTCCTGATGTCCATGTGGTCGTGGTTGGTCCTGTGTGCTCCAGACGTTTTCGCCTGGAACATGGTCCTGTTGCTCCTCCACGGACTGCAGACGGCTTCCATCTTGTACAAGATCCGACCGGTGAAGTTCTCTCAGGACCTTGAGGACGTCTACGACAGTTTGTTCAGACCTCTGCGTGTCTCCAGGTAACGACAGTTTGTTCAGACCTCTGCGTGTCTCCAGGTAACGACAGTTTGTTCAGACCTCTGCGTGTCTCCAAGTAACAACAGTTTGTTCAGACCTCTGCGTGTCTCCAGGTAACGACAGTTCCACAAGAGAAGGAAAACGGGTTTTAGATGTCTATATTATTATATTGAATGACTAGACAGGGCAGTTGACCCTTTCCGTCAACCTTCCCTTGGTAAAGAATTATTATTATTATTATTTTTAATGAAGCCCCACCAAATGATATTCTATCATAACAGTTAAATTAAACATTAAAGAACAGACACACTTAGAATTACACACAAAAAAAAAAAAAAACTGGTGCAGGATAAGACTATATACTTGATTTATTAGTTTAGCAATCATTTTGGTTATTTATATTTTTAGTCAACAGTGATAGTATGGTGGTAATGAGATGCTTCAGCTGGATAAAAACTGAGCACCTAAGATTAGAGTGAAGTGATAATGATGGTGTTTAGTTACATAAATACATGATACGTAACTTATGTTGTTTTAGAAAGTGGAACCTCTGAGAATCCACGTGGTGAGTCCCTTCTTAACTGTTCCAACCTTTCCGCCCAATTCTTCTGGTTCCACCTGGTTCTTCCACCTGTTTCCCAGCTGACCGAGTTCGAACACATTGTAGTGTCGTGCCCCTTGATGATCCTCTATTTCTGTTCTCAGAAAGGACTGATCGTCACATGGAAGCTGTAAATAATGGAAACAAACACATACGTTTAGTATCTTGACTTACACTAAGAGTACATGTATCAATTAATACAATTAATACAATATATAATAATACATCATATCTCATCACTCCTCCTCATATTCCATATTCTCTTCAGTCTAGTCTGAAGGTCTTGTGTCTCACACCGACGTCTAACATATCCTGCCTTCCCTCTCATGTTATGTCACGATAGTTGACTTTCTAAGTCTGTTGTCCGTCATCATTCAGACTTCCAACTGGCTGACATTGATTTGACATAAACATGTGGCGCAGGTTATGTGCCCAACTCGCCAAACATTTTATACGTGCATGCTGTCCTGAATATTATTTTTCAGTAACCGTGAATTCTAAAAACCCCTTCTTCTTCTTCCCCCGGGGTTGTAAATCCTTGTGTAGTTGAACCCATTTAGTGAGCAGATGGTGGGCACACACAAAACGTAACCGCATGGCTGCACATATGGCCATCATTTTTCACAGTCCAAACTCATGTTTTGGTTGACTGTTGAAACATTATAATTTCATTACATTTCAATATACAAATCTTATTTTATGAACATGAAAACATACACTGAAAAGCATGTGGCACAAACATGAAAAAGGAATGGTTTAGCAGTTCCCTAACTGAGATACTGAATACTCACAGAGTCTATTTCAAGCATAATGTGTAGAAAAATTAAGAAACGGTAGAATAGGCTTAGCTAACTCCCTAACCTATGTATACAAGTTTGAAAATAATGGTACAAGCTTACCTGGTAACATTTCAGCAATCGCCAAACCGGAATCAAACAGTAAGAATTACCTCTACTGTCGACCTGAGTTTGTTGCCGGTGGGCCGCGATGTGAAGTAAACTCCAGATGCTAGTATTATTAATACCTCTATCTGTCTGCAAGGTTAAACTCCTCCCTTTACTAGGTTTTACCCAACCCTCCAGGAGATGATCTAAGCCACGCCCCTGAGGTACCTTGCAGATCAACATAGCTATCAATGGGCCTGTCACTCAAAGTGAACGGCCTTCAGTACGACCTCGACCAAGATCAGACATTCCTAATTGGCAAAACATCTGTTATCCTAAGAATTTCACTGACATTGTGAAACTCCAGCCACGGGACGCCATCATGTCTAGAGTTGTCTACCAGACCACTTAATTCCCCTGATCTGCTCTGTTCAAAACGCCCCACTTAGTCTGTGTTATGTAACATTTATGACACTAAGGTCGGGTTCATGGGAGATAATCTCAGGTGTAATACTAAGTTATTTCCCCATTTACTCGCCTCTACACACTGTGGTCAGAAGATAATTATATAACACTGGCTTGTAAAACGAATCTCTAGCCAACACAATATCTATATATATATAAAAATCAATGTTTGTGTGTTTGTTTCACCCCTATAGACTCGAAAACTACTGAACCGATTTAGCTGAAATTTTCAGGATATGTTTGTTGTGATACCGGATTTTGAACTGTCGTGGTTTGAAATTCAACCCATCACTGTTAGAGATAGGTGACCACAATTTATGCCAAAATATACGCAACTAATATTTATAACTTTAGTGATTTCCAATTATAGCCACGTTAGTTATTGCGCATGCGCCGTATTTACCATTCGCCGGCGAGTTACGTGCAGCCAACGCCTTCTCTAATACTAATACATAGAGTAGGTCGTGGTACAGCAAACAAGACTATCTCTATATTTGCCACAATAACCATATTAAACACGATTTCTATTTTCTGTTTTTTTTTCAAACAACCTTCGATTGGGGCCGGGGGTGGGGGGGGGGGGGGGCAAGAAACAATCAAGGACTATCTCGACGTCGGCGCAGACAGTGACTGCGACATTAACTTCATTAACCGTGTTAGACACCGTGCGATTCTATTTCATTAATATATCTGGAGTATCTGTCTACGAGAAAACAATTGCCTGCGGTTTTGAATTGTGTTTTAATCGCGACACAGTGGTAGGGACACATATGTCTAATAGTTGAGTTCTCTTTTCGTTGTTCCGATTAAGTGGCTGCTTGGTCGAATGGTTAGAACACTGGGTTCATGTGCGGTAGACCTGGGTTCGAATCCGCAGTCGTTAAATTTTTTTTTTACCTCGGGCTAAAATAATATCCTCATCTGCTCTGTCGTGGTGACAGCACTAGCCATGTTGCCCTTATATTTAAAAAAAAAAAAAAAAAAGTAAATGGGTAAACCATTTGATAATTAAATTTGACCATTTCGCATACTTATGATTGCATTGTTAAACTTTCCGATTGCATGGTTACGCTGAAATTTTACAGATTTTCATTTATTTTCATTTAGATTTAGTTATTTCATCTGTGTTGGAATTTTAAGCTGTGCTGTTTACAATGGCGTTCATTTCCTAATAATGGTGTTTTTTTTTTCCTGTGTTCGTTTGCTTTTCAAGTTTTTTTTTTCTCCCAACTACTTCAATAAGGGAAAGAGTTGTCCGTGAATTGGGGGGGGGGGGGGGGGGCAAAACTATTAACTGATAGAGCTTTAAGTCACAGTAACTGCTTTACCCACTTAAAGTAGCAGCAGCAGTAATAGTTGTGGATGGGCTGTTACACCATAGTGCTCTCATGTGAAGACCGCCGGTAAGGTTATGGCGTTCTTCTGTCGGCAAGTGAAATTATACATCCTAACCTGACCAGTCTGTGGCGACAGCACTAGCCATGCGGAACCAAATCTTCTGGCTCACGACTCTCTGTCTACTCCGATGGTAACACAGATAGCAGTGACATTATTTTAGTAGTTGTACTGGTACTTGAAGGATGATGTGGTAAATATTACACTAGCCCTATTCACTACCTTTTACAATTCCTGCTCCCTATTTTAGTCCAGATGGACAGGGATGTCAATGTCAGTTACAGCAACAACAAACTATCGCCAGTTAGTGATTTTCAAATCCTTCGAAGAGGGAGAGAGCAGTAGTCGGTGGAAGAGGGGAGGGGGTAATGACTTAAATTTAGGAGAAAATTAAAGAGCTTTACACTTGATTTTTCAAGTTCTCATTGCCTAATTTGTTTTATAGTTTACTAACGCTACCTCCGCTTTTCTATTTTTTACGACTTACTTTGTTGTTCACAAAGTTACAGTTGTAGCTCTACTTCCGTCCCCTATAAAAATACAAACAGCTTTAGCATGTGATAACCAAATAACCATTTTTGTTACTGTGCTAATAACACACATTTAAACGACCACTAATATAAAGACACAATTATAAGGTGCGTGTTTCTAAAGTTGGAAAACCAGACTATCGCTATATCCGTGCAGAGAATGATTGCGACATTAACTGTATTAGACACGTGCGATTTCCATTGTCTTTCTTTTCCAAAAAACATTTGATGAGGGAGATAGTAGTAGGTGGATTTAGTTGTGAGGGGGGGGGGGGGGGGGGGGGGATCAAAGACTATCTCTATATCTGAGCAGACAATGATTGTATTAGACACGTGCGTTTTCTATTTTCTTTCATTTCCATTTAGCCAAACTATGCCACAGCAACGCGTGGCCGGGTACAGCTAGTTAGGTAATATTACACAAAGCTGGGTTGCTTTGTCTGGCGAGAGACGGGGAAACGAAGTTTTGAACAATTCTCAAATCACTTGTGGTGGTTTTAGTACTATTAGGCTCAGTGTATATTGAGTATAATTCTGAGTCCTTCTATGAACATAAGAAATTTTTAAACACAATATAACTTCCGAGACCACTGAGGTCATTTCGTCTCAGTAACGACAGTGTGTTTAGACCTGTGCGTATCTCCAGGTAACGACAATGTGTTCAGACCTGTGCGTGTCTCCAGGTAACAACAGTGTGTTCAGACCTGTGCGTGTCTCCAGGTAACAACAGTGTGTTCAGACCTGTGCGTGTCTCCAGGTAACAACAGTGTGTTCAGACCTGTGCGTGTCTCCAGGTAACAACAGTGTGTTCAGACCTGTGCGTGTCTCCAGGTAACAACAGTTGGTTCAGACCTGTGCGTGTCTCTAGGTGGCGACAGTGTGTTCAGACCTGTGTGTGTCTCCAGGTAACAACAGTTGGTTCAGACCTGTGTGTGTCTCCAGGTAACGACAATGTGTTCAGACCTGTGCGTGTCTCCAGGTAACAACAGTGTGTTCAGACCTGTGAGTGTCTCCAGGTAACAACAGTGTGTTCAGACCTGTGCGTGTCTCCAGGTAACAACAGTGTGTTCAGACCTGTCGTGTCTCCAGGTAACGACAGTGTGTTCAGACCTGTGCGTGTCTCCAGG